CCCTGTATCCTTGTTTCCCATGCTGTGTCCTTGTCTCCCACCCCATGTCCTTTTCTCCCACCCCATGTCCCAAATGTCCCCATGTCTCTGGAGCACCCCCCGTGTCCCCAGTGCCCACCCCGTGCCCCCAGTGCCTGCCCCATATTCCTGACACCCACCCCGTGTTCCCGTCACCCATCCCGTGTTCCTGCCTCCCACCCCGTGTCCCGACGCCCAGGCCATGCCAGGGCTGCTTCTGCCGAAGGGACCGTGTCACGCTGACAGCTGACAAGTGTTGTGTCACTTTAATGGCAGAAGTGTCCCGCGGTCACCAGCCGGTGTCACTCCCCGCGCTGGCCTGCCAGGGGGAAGGGGAATCCCCCACATCAGTTCTCTGCTCCCAGAACTTGGCTGGCGAGGATGCTTGGATGCTGGGATTCCTAGCGGGACTGGGACAGGACGCTGGGATTCCTGGTTGGACGGGGACAGGATGCTGGGATCCATGGTGGGACAGGGACAGGACATGGGGATCCCTGGTGGGAGAGGGTGCTGCGTTCCTTGATAGGCCAGGGACAAGACACTGGGATCCCTGGTGGGATAGGGACGGGATGATGGAATCCCCAGTGGGACAGAGACAGGATGCTGGGATCCAAGTGGGACAGGACACTGGAATCCCTGCTGGGACAGGGACAGGACACTGGGATCCCAGGTGGAACAGGATGCAGGGATCCCTAAAGAGGGTGCTGGGATCCCTGCTGGGACAAGACACTGAGATCCAGGTGGGGCAGTTTCTTCATGCCAGGGGGACGCTTTCCTGCTGGCACCCCATGGTGACAGGCAGTGCCAGCCCCGGGACAGGAGGGTGGCCACGGTGGCGGCGGAATTCCGGAGGAGTCAGCGGAGGTGTGGCAGCAGCCGGGAGCCGCGGTGTGGTCGGAGCTGGGGACAGCGGCAGATCCCAGGGGTCGGGTCGTGCGGTGCCGGAGGGCTCAGAGGAGCACGCAGCCCCTCCAGGCTCTCCTCCCGCGCTGTCTCCGGCGG